AATCCCAAAGAAAGGCAATGCCAAAGAATGCTCAAACTACCACACGATTGCACTCATCTCACACGAAAGTAAAGTAATGCTCAAAATTCTCCAAGCCGGGCTTCAGCAATATGTGAACTGTGAAATTCCAGATGTTCAAGCTGGTTTTAGAAAAGGCAGAGGAACCAGAGATCAAATTGCCAACATCCACTGGATCATTGAAAAAGGAAGACAGTTCCAGAAAAACATCTATTTCTGCTTTATTGACTATGCCAAAGCCTTTGACTGTGTGGATCACAATAAACTGTGGAAAATTCTGAAAGAGATGGGAATACCAGACCACCTGACCTGCCTCTTGAGAAACCTGTATGCAGGTCAGGAAGCAACAGTTAGAACTGGACATGGAACAACAGACTGGTTCCAAATAGGAAAAGGAGTATGTCAAGGCTGTATATTGTCACCCTGCTTATTTAACTTATATGCAGAGTACATCATGAGAAACGCTGGGCTGGAAGAAGCACAAGCTGGAATCAAGATTGCCAGGAGAAATATCAATAACCTCAGATATGCAGATGACACTACCCTTATGGCACAAAGCCTCTTGATGAAAGTGAAGGAGGAGAGTGAAAAAGTTGGCTTAAAGCTCAACATTCAGAAAACTAAGATCATGGTATCTGGTCCCATCACTTCATGAGAAATAGATGGGGAAACAGTGGAGACAGTGTCAGACTTTATTTTTTGGGCTCCAAAATCACTGCAGATGGTGATTGCAGCCATGAAATTAAAAGACACTTACTCCTTGGAAGGAATGTTATGACCAACCTAGACAGCATATTAAAAAGCAGGGATATTACTTTGCCAACAAACGTCCGTCTAGTCAAGGCTCTGGTTTTTCCAGTGGTCATGTATGGATGTCAGAGTTGGACTGTGAAGAAAGCTGAGCGCTGAAAAATTGATGCTTTTGAACTGTGGTGTTGGAGAAGACCCTTGAGAGTCCCTTGGACTGCAAGGAGATTCCACTAGTCCATCCTAAAGAAGATCAGTCCTGGGTGTTCACTGGAAGGACTGATGTTGAAGCTGAAATTCCAATACTTTGGCCACCTCATGTGAAGAGCTGACTCCTTGGAAAAGACCCTGATGCTGGGAGGTTTGGGGGCAGGAGGAGAAGGGGACAACAGAGGATGGGATGGTTGGATGGCATCACCAACTCGATGGACATGAGTTTGAGTAAGCTCCAGGAGTTGGTGATGGACAGGGAGGCCTGGCGTGCTGTGATTCATGGGGTCGCAAAGAGTCGGACAACGACTGAGCAACTGAACTGAACTCAACTGAACAGTTACAGACATTCCCATTCAAAATGGGAGAAGGAATGGAAAAGGAATTGCAGTCCCAAGCAATTTTGAAATCCATGTGATTCGTTGCCGGTCCAGTGGCTAATATTCTGTGCTCCCAATGAAGGGGGCCTAGGTTCAATCCATGGTTAGGGAACTAGATCCCACATGCCACAGCTAAGAGTTCACATGCCACAACTAAAAAGATCCTGTGGACTTCCCTGCTGGCACAGTGGGCAGGGATCCATTTGCCAGTGCAGGGGACACAGGTTTGACCCCTGGTCCGGAAAGACTCCACATGGTGGTTGTTCAGTCGTTACATCGTGTCCAACTCTTTGTGACCCCGTGGACTGCAGTGCACCAGACTTCCCTGTCTTTCACTATCTCCTGGAGTTTGCCCAAACTCTTGTCCATTGGAGTTAGCTCTTTGCATCAGGTGGCCAAAGTATCAGAGCTTCAACTTCAGTCCTTCCAATGAATAGTCAGGGTTGACTTCCTTTAGGATTGACATTTGATCTTCTTGCAGTCCAAGGGACTCTCAAGATTCCACACACCAGGGAGCAGCTCAGCCTGCGCACCACAAGTGCTGAGCCCGTGCGCCTGGAGCCCGCGCTCTGCAGCGGGAGAAGCCCCCGCAAGGAGAAGCCCGCGCACTGCAGTGAGGAGCTGCCCCCACTCGCCGCAACTGGAGAAAGTCTGCACAGAGCAAGGAAGACCTATGCAGCCAAAAGAATAAATAAATAATTTTAAAAACTAAAAAGATCTTGAGTGTTATAACTAAGACCTGTTGCACCAAGTAAATAAATAAATACTAATTTTTTGAAATCCAGTGGAGCGCACTCAGGTTTCAAGGCCTAGGAATTATCCTCTGTGGCTTCCTGTTCTGCCCTCTGGGCCCACTGCCCCACGCTCAGTCTTGCTTTTTCATCAAGGGTTAGCACAGGTTTGCAGCTGAGTAGTATTGTGAGGCTGTTTCCTGCCTGTAGAATTTTGAGGGTCAGGCAGCCTTCTTTCATTTCTTGTTTCATTGTCCCTGTCTGTCCTAGCTGGCAGTATTTCTACTGACATAACATGCGAAGGAACCTATGGCTCTCCCATGGACGTCACTGGAAAAGGGGCTCATCCACAGGTCTTTCCTGTGGATAGATAATTCTATTTTCACTTCGAAGAGACCTAATGTCTTCCAAGAGCCCTCTGTGTCACCAGATACTGTGACTTTCCGTACCTTTCTCGGCACTAGAAAAGTGCTGTTCAGCCTTGGTTTTCTCTCCAAAGCACACTTTCCCAACAGTGAGCCTCCTAGGCTACCCAGTCCAATATTCTTGGGCTTCCCTGGCGGCTCAGCTGGTGAAGAATCTGCCTGCAATGTGGGAGACCCGGGTTGGGAAGAACCCCTGGAGAAGGGAAAGGCTACCCACTCCAGTATTCGGGTCTGGAGAATTCCACGGACCGTGTAGTCCATGGGGTCGCAAAGAGTTGGCCACAACTGAGTGACTTTCACTTTGCAACCTGGATAAGTTCTTTTCCATATAACTATAGGATACAGTTGAGCTAAGCTCTCTGTCACTGTAGAACACGTTCCCTTTTACACCCAGTTTCCAACAACCTGTTCCTCATTTCCTCTGAGCCCTTGGCTGAAGTGTCCTTATTGCTACCAACAGTCTGTTTATGACAATTTAAGTATCATCATCTAAGATGATACAGATTTTCTTTACCACAGTTAGCAGAATTGTTAACATCCATATGCCTACTAACAGTCTATTCAAGGCAACCAAGGTGTCTTCTATTGTGCTTCTTAAAATTCTTCCAGTCTCTACCCATCACCTAATTCTGAAGTCAGCTTCACGTTTTTAGGTATTTGTCATATCAATACCCCACTTCCCAGTACTCGTATTAGTATTTTGTACTTTTTTTTAATTGCAGCGTGGCAATCAATTGTATGACTCCACAGCAATATGTTCATCCAGCCTGTTGTTAATAGACATTTGGGTTATCTCCAATTTTTAGCTCTTTGCATGTGGCTTCTAGGAATGAGCCTTTTTTTGGTGGACATATGCTTTTATTTCTTGTGGGTAAATATCTTGGAGTGGGATTGCTTCAAGGATTATTCCTTTTCCACTCTTGGTCCACTGTGGACAGCCAGCTTCCATGCTGCTGGTAGGTCATCCCTTCATCAATCCTGATTATGTCTAGGAAGTTCAGGTCTGTTTCCCGTGTTTGCTGGGACCGAAGCCTTCCTATTGCCTTAACCCAAGTTCCTAGGACCTTATATCATTTCTGAAAGCTCCGTGAGTTGTTTTCTTCAGTTTTTGTCCATCCCTGTAACTTAAAAGACCCCCCCTATAGGGCACTCTTTCTTGCTTTTGAATCCAGCTATGTAATAAAAAATAGTTTGGGGGTAAAGTGTTAGCTAGCATTTCTGTTTAGGGAACACAGTGAATGTACTTCTGCATCGGTTCAGACCGTCTTAAGAAGTCTCTTATTTAAAACTTTACCTTTGACCCAGGGCAACGTGTTTGAGCAACTAATCTTGATATATCCATTTTGCATGTGAGCAAACTGAAGCAAGTTAAGCAGCTTGTCCAAAGTCGAATTAGGACAGGGACTTCCCTGGTGGTCCAGTGGTTAAGGATGTGTATCTGTGTGCTCAGCTGTGTCCGTCTCTTTGCAATGCCATGGACTGGAGCCCGCCAGGCTCTGTCCGTGGGATTTCCCACTCCAGAGAATGCCGGAGTGGTTGACATTTCCTTCTCCAGGGGATCTTCCTGACCCAGGGATCGAATATTAGTCTTTTATGTTTTCTGCACCAGCAGGCAGGTTCTTTACCACTAGCGCCACTTGAGAAGCCCAATTCAGAGGATGCGGGTTGAAGCCCTGGTGTCGGAGCCAAGATCTCACGAAGCCAAATAAAAAAAATAGAAACCCAAAATGTAAAGTTTGACTAGGACAGCCAACTTGTTTGAGATATTTAAAGCTTTCTGGGGCTCATGGAGGATATGAGCAACCCCCTTTCCTCCAGGCAGAAATTTTATTTTTTAAATGTTTATTTATTTATCTTTATTATTATTTGGCCATGCTGCGAAACATGTGGGATCTTAGTTCTCTGAAAATCTTAGTTCCTCCACCAGGGATGGAAACTTTAGTTTTCTGACCAGGGATTAAACCTGCACCCCTGCAATGGAAGCACAGTCTTAACTGCTGAACTACCTCAGGCAGGAAGTTTAGAATGGATGCTGAAGCAGTGCTTGAGCAGGTAACCCACAGTGTCAGAAGAGGGTTTGATTTCATGATTGTCGCAGTATTAAATGCGATGATACTGGTTTATCAATTAGCATAGTGCCCAAAACCTAGTAAGTCTTTTTTAAAAAGTTTGGGATGATTGATATTATTAATGACATTATAATTTTCTCTACTTTTAGAGTTCTTCCTCTTCCCTACTTTTTGCTTTACAGAGCCATAGGCAGCTTCCCTATCAGCCTCCCGAAACAAGGGGTTATGGGTGGAGCAGAATTTGTGGGTTAGGAAATTTGAAGATAAATTGCTGGCTTTATAGCACAGGGGAAACGCTGCAGGGGCTCTGAGGACGGTCTCTGGCACCAGACAGTGTGGACTTGAACCCCAGATCTTTTATCGACTACTGTGGGGTCTTAGAGGGTTGAACTTTTCTGAACAAAATGGAGATAATCATACTACTATTTTCTAGATTTACTGTGAGGAGTCATGTGTTTCTACGTAAAAGGCATATGTAAGAGTGCTCAGTACATAATAGGCATGTTCAGTAAATGTTCGCTTGGTTAGTGTGGTTAGCATTTACTGCTGTTCATCAGACGTTTCTGGCTGGCTCTCTTTCCAAGGGCATGGTAAAGTGTTCCACTTGTGGTTGGGCACAGCCATGACTAGTTCTGGCCAACGAGTCGTGAGTAGAAGCCTTGTGGTGATTCTGAGCCAGAGCAGCTAAACGCTCCGAGTGCTTTCCCTTTGTCAGGAGGGCAGAAATTCAAAGTGGTGGCCGCCCTCTCACCCTGGGTTTCTGAGGGTTGATGGTGAATGCAACCCCTTTGTTGTTTCTGGCCTCTGAGACTTGAGATTGTTACTACAGTGTGATCGAGCCTGTGCTCACAAACACGTGCACGATTATTAATAACCTCGAGGAGGGTATCCTCCCCGGGGCATTTTAGTGACTCTCTGGAAAGGTCTTTAGTAGGAGTTGGAGGTGCTGGCATCAGTAGGATGATCAGTAGAGCCCCTTTCTGCACGTCCGCCTGCACAGGAGTCCCAGCTTCAGTGTTCTGCGTCCCAAGTTCTGTCAGTTCGCTTACCCGAGTTCTCCTTTTCCTGAAGGGAAAGTGATAAAAGTGACTCAAAACACATTAACAGTCTTCATGTACTTGAATCTGTGCCACTAATCAAAGGGTTTAAAAAAGCAGAAATTCCATTTTCTATTTACAATTTCCTGAATGAAACAGAAATAGCATAAGGATTAGGCTTCTTTGGCGAGGATCTAAAGACATGACAGGCAGACATATTTCGATCGTGTTTCCCAAGCATGCTCTCACTGTTAGCGATATCTGGCAGTGGAGCCCACAGCTCGTGAGGGCTGAGTTCCCTTCTGGAGGCATTCACAGCCTGTCACATCGGAACCAACCATTCATCTTTCCTCCCACAGTGCCCATGTTTGCAGCCCCCGGCTCCCACTGTGCTCTGTGTGGTGTGGGAATCCTGCTGTGTTCTGCTCCTCTGATCAATTCCATCAGAAAATTTGGAAGGTGGGGACCTCTCCTGATTATCCCTATGTGGGGTTCCTCACTCTCCTCTCCCATGACAAACAGAATTCCCAACTGAGAAGATGCTCAAGAAATGTTTGCAAGGATAAAACAAACTTTCAACTTAGAGCAGTGGTTTTCCACTTGGGCTGCACCTTAGCATCATCCAGGGAGCTTTACAAAAAAAAAAAATCCCGAGTTTGGAACATACCTGCTGCTGCTGCTGCTGCTGCTAAGTCGCTTCAGTCGTGTCCAACTCTGTGTGACCCCATAGATGGCAGCCCACCAGGCTCCGCTGTCAAGAACACTGGAGTGGGCTGCCATTTCCTACTCCAATGCATGAAAGTGAAAAGTGAAAGTGAAGTCGCTCAGTCGTGTCTGACTCTTTGTGACCGCGACCGCATGGACTGCAGCCTACCAGGTTCCTCCTCCGTCCATGCAATTTTCAGGCAAGAGTACTGGAGTGGGGTGCCATTGCCTTCTCCGGATCATACCTGAGAGCAGTTAAATCAGAACTTCTGAGGGTGGGCTTCAGGCGGAGTATATTTAAATGCTCCCAGGTGATTACTGCAGCCAAGGTGCAGGACCACTGAACAACAGAGGCTGCCTGACCATGTCAGCGGTGTTCAAGTAAAATAATAAATTTAATGTGCTGTTATTCTGAGGCTTCCCAGGTGACACTAGTGGTAAAGAACCCACCTGCCAACGCAGGAGATGCAAGAGATGCAGGTTCGATCCCTAGGTTGGAAGATCCCCTGGAGGACAGCGCCGTTTCCCACTCCAGCATTCTTGCTGGAGAATCCTACGGACAGAGGAGCTGGTCAGGCTGTAGTCCATAGGGCCGCAGAGTCGGACACGACTGAAGCGACTTAGCACGCATGCATGGTGTTATTCTCGTGTAATGTCTAGCTTTATACTTGTTCAATGCCTCACAGTTTTCAAGGTGCAGTGAGTGTTTAAGCATTGAATAAGGATTTTATGATCTAGTGGGGGGAGGAGGATACAGATATGTAGCAAATTCTTCCAGGAAGTTAGAGAGGCGGAGAGAGAGAGGAAGGGAGTGGGAGACAAGAGAATGACAATGTGTGTGTGTGTGTGTGTGCGCCCTTGGGAGGGGAGAAAGTGCTGAGCACATCATTTGATGCAAAACCAGCTTAAAGGAAGCCTGCGGTGGCGGAAGGAAACAGCATCCCGCTGGGACTTGGGAAAGCTTCTACGGGCCGGTCTCTGGAAGAGGAACACCACTTCCTCAGTTATACTGGGGGACAGCATCGTTGTTGGTCGGCTCACAAAGATATCCTGTGGCTGTAGTAAGGAGAACTAACTCCCTGTGGAGGGGACTCCTTCCTAGGACCCTGACTGGGGCTCTGGGCTCTTGATTGCTGTTACTGGCTCCCTGGGCGTTGACGGTTGTCCCGGTATTAGGAGGTCCACGGTCCTTACCTTGGGAACAAGGCCCTCCCTAACGGAGCCCGGTATACCAGTCGCTCCAGCTTCCTCTTCGGCCTCCGCTTTTAGCTCCAGGAAGACCACAGCGTTTGCAGCTGTGCGATGCCTCGGGGTCTGTGGGTATCCGCTCCTTTCTCCTGCCGAATTCCTCATTCCTCCAGCTTCAGCTGAGGCTCTCCGCATCCCGGGATCCCTTCACCCGGCCAGGGCCGGGGGAGTGCTCTTGTGCGGCCCTCCCACAGTCTTCTTCTGGAAGGTGGGACACTCGCTCCACTCCGGTGGCCGGTCCGTCCTCCAGATAGGGGAGGGTACCAATGCACAGGCCCGCCCGGCCTCCAGGGGGCAGTCCGGAGACCTGAGTGAGTGAGTGAACGACTGAATGCCCAGGTGGCTGAGTGAGCGGGTGAGCGAGTCGGTGAACGAACGAGCGGATGGACCAGCGGGCGGACGAACGAGGAAGTGAGCGAGCGAGCGCACCAGAGGGTGAGAGTGAGAATAAATGGATGAATGAGTGAGTGGGGGCCTGAGAGAGGGCAGGTGGGGACTGACCGGGCGGGCGAGGGAGCGGCCAGAGAACCTGCAGCGGGTGAGCGGCGGACGCCGGACGCTGAGCTCGCGCCTGGACCGCGCCACCTGCCCTCCGCGTGGCAGCTGAGCCTGGGCTGGGCGGGAAGAGGCGGGGGAGTGGGCGGGGCGACGCCGGGAGTGGGCGGGACAGGACCGGCGCGTGGGCGGGGCGATGTCGAGGGTGGGCGGGGCAGACCCGGGGCGTGGGCGGGGCGAGCCCGGGCCCAGGCCCGGCGGGCGCAGAGGAAGTCACGTGGCGAGCGCTCACATGACCGGCGGCGCGATGGACCCGCTGCCCACCGCGCCCGGAGCTGCAGTTGCTGAGGCGGAGGCGGACGAGGAGGCGGACCTGCCAGCGGCAGGTATGGCAGGCATCCCCCCAGGCCCCGCGTGGCTCCGGCCGGCGCCCCCTGAGGCCCTGCGGCCTTCGGTTCTCTTCCTGGCCCCGGACTCCCCGCGCTTGCTGGGTCCTCCCCTCTCACGGCCCCTCCCGGTCCACGCCCAGGAGGGCGCGTGGCTCCGCGGCTCTGAACCCCAGCACCTGTCCGGGTTTGCGCCTTTCCGCGCGTTTCTGCCTGCGTCTCCCCGGGACTGTCCGGGTCCCTCGGGGCCGCAGGACCCACCCGCCCCGCGCTTCCTGCGTGCCCACCTGCCCGCCGCGTGTCCCTGGACTTGCCGGGCCTTGGCACGTACTGTGGCGGCCCAGGACTTGGGCGTTTCTTCTGCCAGCCCGCCGTGTTTCTCCGTAAGTGCTTTAATTAGTGCATGAGGCTTGGCTTTTCTAGGATGGCCCCGTTTAGAGGGTACCCCTCTAGTCTTCCAACGGGACAGTACACGTGGGTGTGAGTTACTGCGGCTTCGTGGTGGCGGCGGTGGCACGAAGTTGGAAACTCCGTTTGGAGAGCCTGGCAAGGTGTCCCTGAGGAGGTCATGCTCAAAGTGAGTCCTGGAGGGCTGGGGAGACGGTTGATTCATTAGGGAGAAAAGGAGGTAGGAGTGGAGTGAAGCTGCTGGGTGCTGGGGTGGGGGTGGACAGTGCTCTGGATTGGCCCCAGTGTTTTGAAGACCCTGGGTGAGTCTGCCTTTAGACACTGGACCCGCCGCTCCCCGCCCTTGGTCTCTATGTTTTCTTTCGCTTGTATCTTTGTAAGGGGTAGCATGTGACGGCTCGTGCTCACGGTTAGAACACTGTGTTCAGGAGGTCACACGTTTGAGCCCAGCGTGGGCCAGTCCAGCCTGCCTCTATCAGGTGCCCACACTGGACTCCTTATCTAGGTCACATTTGGAAATGTGAGGCAGTGTTTGAGCAGGATCGCTGCTTCCCCTGGGGATTGTAAAGCAGTTGAGAGCTGCTGGATGTGGTGGTCGTTCTGGGCTCTCTCTGCACGTCAAGGGCAGCCTGAATGTTTCCTGCAGGACTCACTCACTGGCTGCCATTACGGTGTCAGCCACCCCTGCTCTCTGAGACTTGCAGCTGGCCTTGTTAGGGGCCGAGGTGATTTTGTTAACATTAGGCATCCAGTTGAAGGAGGTGGCGTGGTAGAGGAAAAACACAACAACAGCGAAAAAAGCAGTTTTTTTTTTTTTTTTAAACTGGGAAAGCAAAAACCCAGAGATAAGTGGCCTGCCCACAGTGGACAATGTTAAAAGGGTATGTTGTGGTGGGGATGGTGGTTAGATGGGCTGCAATCAGAAAATACGTTTTTGAGAGTGAATTTTATCCAGACGTGATATATGTGCCTCATGCTTGAGCAGAGGTTTGTTTTGACTGTTGAAGAAGTTGTGGCTTATGGATATACAGCGAATTTCATTTTCTCTGGTGTTCTGTCCACACAGCCATAGCTCACTATTAGTATTACCGGTGGGGACCGTGGGGGTCTAGGTCTTTGTAATGCCTTTGGGATTGTCAGAAAAAATGATGTTCACTGTGGTTTTCAGCCTTAATGTTTAAAAACAATATTTTTTTAGGTTAATTTTATTTTGGCTGCCCTGGGTCTTTGTTGCTGTGAGAGGGCTCTCTAGTTGCGTGGAGCAGGGGCTGCTCTTGCTGTGTGTGGGCCTCTCATTGCGGTGGCTTGTCTTGCAGCGGAGCACAGGCTCAGAGTGAGTGGGCTGCAGCCGTTGCAGCAGGAGGCTCAGGAGTTGTTGCGCACGGACTTCATTTTCTCCGCAGCCTGTGGAATCCTCGCAGACCAGGGATCCAGCCTATGTTCCCTGCATTGGCAGGCAGATTCTTTTCCACTGTACCATCAGGGGAGTCCCAAGAATCATATTATATTCTAATCCCTGGAAGCTTAAGCTGTGAGTGATAACTCTCTTCCTAAAAATTTAACTTTCAATTTTGCAATACATAGACAACTACATTTCCCTTCCAAAAAAAAAACAACAGGCAAACACAACTGAGAACACTACAGAAAGGCACTCACCCCCTCTCACCAGTTTGGGGTGGATCCTCTCACCCCGTTTTTGTGTTTATACTCGTGTGCTCAGACAGCATACACCTCCTTGTGCCTCTGTGCCTGTTTTTCCCTAGCGTCGTGTATTGGTTTTCTGCTGCTGCTGAAACAAAAATGACCACACAAAGTGGCTTAACCAGCAGAAATTTATCATTTTACAGTTCAGAAGGTCTGTAGTCCAGAACAGGTTTCCCTGAGCTGAAATCTAGCTGTGGGCAGATCTGCGTTCCATCCGGAGGCCCTGGGGGGGAAGCCGTTTCTTGGTTTTTCCTGGCTCCCAGATGCCTTCCACATTCCTTGACTGATAACCCCGTTGCTCCAGGTGCCCCAGGCCACGCCTTTCTTGCCCTGTCCTGTCTCCAACTCTTTCTTCTGTCCACTTCTGCTTTTAAGGACCCCTCCGATTACATTGGGCCCACCTGGTAATCTGATAGGATTCTCCCAATTTTAATGTCAGCTTATTAGCAACCTGAATTTTTTCTGCAGCTTGAGTTCTCCTTTACTGTGTAATCTTGCAGACTTCTGTTTTCTGGGATTAGGGTGTGGGCCTTTAGAGGTCATTAGTCTGCCATAATGGCTGCCCAAGGTGGCTCATCTGTAAGGAACCCACTTGCCAGTGCAGGAGATGCAGACGACTTGGGCTTGATCCCCAGGTTGGGAAGATCCCCTGGAGGAGGAAATGGCAGCCCACTCCACAGTATTGTTGCCTGGGAAATCCCCTGGACAGAGGAACCTGGTGGGCTATAGTCCATAGGCTTGCAAGAGTCAGACAGGACCGAGCACCCAGCCACATTCTGCCTTAAATACCCTAAGGAGTGGACTTGCTGGGTCACAGCGTCACATGCTTTTTAAAAAGAATTTATCTTCGGCTGTGCTGGGTCTTTCTTGCTGCCTGGGCTTTTCTCCAGTCGCAGCTGGCGAGGGCTTACTCTCTAGTTGTGGTGTGCGGGTTCGCACTGTGGCGGGTTCTCTTTTTGCGGAGCACAGGCCCTCTGGCGCAGAGGTCAGGAGTTGTGGGTCCTGGGCTCTAGAGCACGGGCTCAATATCGTGACTCCGGGCTTAGTTGCTCCTCGGCATGTGGGGTCTTCCTGGATCAGGGATCAATCCCGGGTCACCTGCATTGGCAGGCGGATTCTTTACCACTGAGCCAGCAGGGAAGCCCAGTTGCACGTTTTTTGTTTTCACAAATGCTGACAAATTATCCTCTCTGATGGCTGTGACCAGTTTGTACCTGTAACAGCAACGCATCTTTTCCCCGTCACCTCACCACCACTAAATGCCATGTTTTAAAAAAGATTCCTTCAGCGTTAGAGAAATTAAGAACATGTTTTATTTTTGTTTTAATTTCTGTTTCCTCAGTTATTGGTGAGGTTTAGTTTCTTGTGATGCTTTGATCTTGTATGACCTTCCTGAGCTGACTGTTCCTATCTTTGGCCCATTTTCTTACAGGATTTTTTTTTTTTTTTTGCTTTGTAGCAGTTCTTTTTGTATTNTTTTTTTTTTTTTTTGCTTTGTAGCAGTTCTTTTTGTATTTTGGACTTAGACCTGTTGTGGATTTCATATTAAAATCATAACCGTCAAAATATCTGATTGACTGGAACACTTTTTTCTGGTTGCAGCATGAGAGTTTATTTCAGGGTCTGTTCAGAGGTTATAAAGCTCAGTGAGGAGGCCCTGGAGCGCCTGAGAATGAGTGTGATAGGTGCTTGCTTGTCTAATCTGATTTTGGGAATTGCATCATACTGGATAAGGATACAGGTTACCACTGGGTCCCAGCCCTGCTTTCCTACAACCCTGCAGACCTAAACTTAGTCTTTCCTTCCTTCTTTCCTTCTTCCCTGCGCCTCAAAGCTCCTGGGATCTTAGTTTCCTGACTAGGGATTGAACTCTAAACCTTGACAGTGAAAGCACCATGTCCTAAGTGATCCGTTTCAGTTCTGCTGTAGCCCCTCGCTGAACATATGCCGTACCTGCTGTTCGGTTAGGACGCTCTGAGCTGTTTGTCTTACCAAGCCTCGGGGGCGGGGGCGGGGGCCTCCGGGCTTTCTGTGGGCTCAGACCTGAACTCTGCTCCTCCTCCGAGCGGCCCCACCGCCCGCGCACCTGTGTGGTCTGCACGCCCCCCGTGCTCCCGCCACCACCCCGCTGCTGCTGCTCTGCCTGGACACATTGTCAGGCAGTTCACTGACCTGTTGCTTGAGATGTATGCATTTGACAGATTAAATTATACCTTAAAGTATCACCTGCTTTGGGCCAAAAAAATACCTTCCCGTGCATCTCTTTCCCTCTATCACATACATTTCTGTTGTCAGCTCCTGAGGGGCAGAAACCATTATTTTTCTTTATATCTCGGCATCTGCTAATGGAGACAGGGCTCTGCTAGAATAGAATCACATGTGGTTTTTTTTTTTTTTGGTGGCATGCAGGATCTTAGTTCCCCAACCAGCGATGGAACCTGGGCAGAGTCCTGACACACTGCACTGCCAGGAAATTCCCTAGAATTACGTTTTTATCCCAAGTGTTTCTTAGGATAGTATCACATTTTAGTTTGGTAACAGGGGTAGCTGTGTGAGTAT